GATTTGAGAAGCAGCATCTGCAAGAGGGGAAAAATTTAAAGGCTATAACGACCTCAAAATAATATTCTGAAGACTGCAACCAGCTTCAAAGTGACTATACCGACTTTTTTAATCGCGCATCCTCATTCTCTCTGGGAGGAAAGCATTCATTTCGGCACCCAACAAATGCTTGCATATCATTGATCATGGGGTGATTGTATTGTTGATTAGCCCTTTGAGGGCCGCCGTTGATAGGCAGGCAGCGTAGTGTCGTCGCTTATGCGACATTTGCGCCACACAGCATCTAGATGTCCGTGATTGCATATCTGGTTCTGCCTGCCTTCTCACAAGACACGGCGCCGCCATTACAGTAGGTGAGTGAGATTACGAGAAAATTGAAAGAGTGAGGAAAAGTTGGGAAGAAAAGCAATGAAAGTACGCCCTAGGTATGCACCAGCAATTTAGGAGGCCGGAGGCTGTAACACAAGGGAAATGACAAGGTTATGCGAAAATAAATACATTGAAAGGCTTCTTTGTTAAAATGATACTGCAGATTACAAGTTGAAAAATGTGATTTCTCAAGCTATCGCCTGGTTATAAGAATATCGGCTAAAAATAAGAGACAATTGGCTGGAAATATGCTTCCTTCAAAACCAATGTGGCTCCCTCGTTGAAACATAGGAAATATAGAAGAAATATGGGACATACGGACGTTCTTTTCACTAGATTAGCCTCTCTGGAAGCCTTTTCAAATTCCATCATTTCATAAGATAATGTCCCTTCAGAACCTGGGTTCGCCTCCTCGCATTCGTCTTCCCAAAAGTCTTCAAATACGCAGCAGACATTATCTGCATGCCTGTGCATTCATGTCTGACTGTCTGCCTGCTTTCCCACGAGACGCGACGTCGCCATTATAGTAGCTGGGTGAGATTTGAGGTCGCGCAGCCCGGTACGGAAATTATCGTATGGTCCTTAGAGAGCTAACTGATTTTTTGAATAAAGTGTCGAACTGCGAAAAAAACTATAGAGCCAACCGAGAAGTTCTACCTAAGAAGACAGTTGTTAAGATATTCTAATAACGATGATCCTAGACTTGTAAAGCCTGCGCATAAATTTTCACTTCTGTAGATGTATTCTAGCAGCAAACCACCTAAATTAGTGCAACGTCATCTATCACGACACAGTGGCGTTCAAAAATGCGTCTAATGCTTGCACTTTGTGTCGGAAAATCTTTTATTTTATTTCACAGTACTTTATAATGAGAAATTTTGGTGGTACTTGTTTTTCGGACTAGCAAAAAAAACAATATGTTAAAAGCGAAAAATGTCTTAGCTCGACAAGGATTGAAGTTTCGCCGACACTGCGTAAGTCTTCGAGTCGTTCCAAACTTCATAAAACAAAAACGACTTTACGTAATATGCGGTGTACCAGAGGACAGCCGCCAAATACTGGGAATCGAAATGGAACTGCCCCGCTCCTGTATACGAAGCAAGCAGGACAAGATGTTCGCTTAGCTGAGGAAGTGCGCGACGAAGGAACATTATTGTGCTCAGTATTTGGAAGGCATCCGTAGCAGGATAATAGTTGTCGGGTGAAGGTTGATTTGCAACTCCATTAGGTTGAATGCTAAAGGTACATTGCGGAGAAATTTCGATGACCATTTGAGTAGATCGTATAATATTTTGAGAAGGCATACGGATACCGCAAACGAAGATCAAGCTAGTCACAATAAGACAAATAATGCGCCAAGAAATTCAACGGCCACTGTTTTAGAAGGCATAGTTCTCCCTGATGATGCGCACTTGCTATTATAATTGGGTTCAAGCTTCTAGGCATCCCAACCCATTTCTAAGGTATCTTGCGGGGTTGCATGTAACTTACATGAACGTCAAGATAAGCTCTGTAAAAGGGCCAGAGCTGGGGAAATCAATAGGAATGAGCAACAGCAAGTAGAGGTTTTAATAATACCACAATTTCCTCAGCCGTTCTATAGAACAAGACCTCACGAGAAAGTTGATAGAAAATTTTGGAACTCTGCAAACGGAACTTTTAGAACTCTTATTCACTATCGCTAGAAAGTTCCACTCAAAACTCACCGAACTACAAAATGTGGAATGCAAGAGGTTCGAGAGCTGATAAGGCAGAAAACCATGGGACTCTCCCTTGATAGGGTGGGGAATTCGTGGTGATTTCTTGACAGATAGATATTGCAATAACGAATAAGCATCTTGAAGATTCTTCGCTTTACCGATCATCTTCTGTAAGAGATTACAAAAGTCAATACCGCAAATTAAAAAGTGAGTGAGTTCATACGGAAAAAGCTGTATGTTTAAGACCATCTATCAGTTCTGGATTAAAAATCCGATCGCCAACAGGCCCGTCTTATACATACTTATAAAAACACATAAGTTGATATCCACTGATTACCTAACATCTAACGATCCGTATATATATAAGTTGGAACCATTACCAGCTGTGAAGGCGGAGCGACGAATAGGATAGCATTGTTTCCCACTTTAATAACATCCCAGTTGCTAGGACACATTTCAGCCCATCTGACGGACACTCAGATGTTCTTGGACCGTCTACGTAACGCGAATCCAAGCAATGCGTACGTAATGGAGTCATTCGACGTCATTGTCATCTATACCAACGTGTCGAATGACTCTGCATTGCAAACCACACACGAGCTTTTATACAATATCAGGAAGCTATAAACATGTATGGGTGGTCAATTCAGCGATTTATCCCTTATTATGGTTCTATTAAAGGAGTGCTTGAACTGCTAAATCTTCGGCTTTCCACGGAAGTTTTTTGCGCAAATGAGAGGATTGGCAATAGGGCAGCGACTGACGCCTAGCCTAGCTATTGTCTTATTGTCGAAAGTAGAAGTCTCAGTAATGGACCTCGGGCCATTACTCTACTGTAGGTGTATAGATGATTGTTTGGTTATCTGTTCCACTTAAGAGAAATTCTTAAACGAGCAAATGAAGTTAAAATTTGTGGAAATTCGAAATATGAAAAAGTACAGTCAAGATAACGTAAAATGTTCATTAACAGCTCGAAATATAACATTTTCATAAGTTGAACTTTTCCTCAAAGAAATGCAAGATTTTAGAGGTAGCAGTGACGTTGTTTCAAATAAAACTAGTTTTAATGATATTTCTTTCTTAATATTCTATTCTTTAATGATTGAAAAACTTCCTTTAATGGCCGTAAAAAACTAAATTCTATTAGAAAATCACCACACTGCCATTTGAGCGCGCTCGTTAGCCGATCGACGTGGTGCCCTGCGTGTCAGGCAGGGTGTTCTTTCTCCGGATAAGTGTGAACGGATATGGCTTTTGATGATAATTCTCTGAGAAAATGGCTGGTGTATTTTATTATCTAACATTAGAAGTGACTGAGTGCAGATTTGAGCCGCAAAATAGAATGTAGTGTCCCGCCGCTGCATCAAGCCAGTGCTACTATCCTTTGAACGATTCTGGTGCCAGTCTGCTGACCCGTGCAAAACTATAAACAATAGTCTTACTGCAGGACATATCTAACAAATATGCTCGAAAATTATTATTATTGTCGCACTCCTCTAGAGAAAGACAACAGTCTCAGAGGTTAAAAGCCTTTCTACCGCAATGTCAGGCCACCTGCTGGATGTTAAGACGTTCAGAAGCTGATCACTAAGATCTTGCGCATTCTCAGCTTGGAAATCTTTGATGGAATATGTTTGGCAAGGCAGCAACTTCTGTGGTCGCCGTAAGAGTCAGGATCTGGGATCCTAGATAACACAGGTCGCTTTGACACATCCTTCGCCGAAAGAAGCTAACCATGCCATCTAGCTTCTGACAAGGTGCGACATGGATGAAGTGCCACAAGAGATTATGCAGACTTTTGTTGACTCATATGATGTATCATGGGTCAAGCAGCCTTAGATGACCTATTAGACCTAATATACAACCCGTTTTGCTCTTATAACGCTAAAAATAGATTTCGGTGTCCGTAATCCAGTGTTGGAAGAAGAACTTTTCTAGCTTTTCGACGTAATTAAAACTGATTTTATAGCCGAAAGAAGTCGTTTTCCTGAAACAGTCTTCTGTGAGAAAGGCATCCGCGTCTTCGAATCGTCCAAGTTTGATATCAGTCAGTCCATTTGATACGTAATGATTCTCTTCCACTATTGCTGATAAAACATCAAAACAAACGACTGTTCTGCGTTTCTTGTGCTCACTGATCTTTCTACGCTGGTTGATTCATTATCTCTAGAATACGAATAAATCGTTGTAAACACTGCAACTGGTTATCTAACCAGCCTGTCTCTCCTTCTTTTCAACAATGCCTTCTATTACGAAGACATCACCCATGACCTAATAACATTAACCTATTCACTCGTTCTCTTCGTCAATTTGCCAATTATATTGAATCCATTCCGTTTTTGTTCTTCTTATTCAAGAACTCATTTGAAAACTTTTTAGAGTAGATGGGTTGTAGTGTGAGGCCTTTGTTTTGAAATTGGTCAGAACATGCGCGACGTGGTACTTTTCAAGTGGAAACAATGCCAAAATAACATTTCAAATAATCTTCGCCACCTTTTGTACAATGAATTCGATTAGATTTTGGTGAGTGGTTGGATAAATTGAAAAGGCTATCTAATGTTTACTAATCCTTCTATTCATTTTACATGAAGCCCTTCTTGAAAAACCAACGGGTGTGAAAAATAGATTTATTAGATCTACTTGCGTGTAACATGCTTCGTCAATTAGGTGTGTGTTGTCAGCTAGAGCGCTGGTTTTACTAACTTGAACGTCACATTGTGATTGTGTATTCATTTTAGAATCACGCGGTATGTCCTTTGTGAATCAACGGCAAAGAAAAGAAAATAAGAATTGCAGTAAATTTCCGTTTCACTTTCTGCGACGACGTACGACTAAATCATCCTGATGAATCAAAATTCATTTTAGCTGACCGCGTATTGCGTGGTATGATGTTACAATAAACCCAGTAAAGTAGTGTGGTGTGCAAACATTTGCGTCAGTCGGGATTCGAACCCATATCTCACTCTTTCCGGGAGTGTGTGTTGAAACGTTGCACTACTGACGCTCGTTTTGCACTCGTCATGATGTTCCACAGTTATGGCCATTTAGAAAAAGCTGCCTTATTTTGAAAAAATGTGGTCATTCTGTTAACCTACGTCATTTTCCGTTTTTTTTTCGTCTCATAGTTGTTACTTGTCGTCAAATTTCTCTTCCCACTTCTAACGTTTGCAGCTTATTTCACCAACCTTTTCTTGGATCGTCGACCGGAATTCTTGGTAACGATATGAGCAATTAGTATGGAATCTGTTATGCACTAGTGAGAAAATGCTCGGAAAGCCAGTTTGCCTAATGATAATCGTTATCGTTTTCCACTTCGCGAAAGCGAAATGCGTGACAGTAAGTTTTTAGTTGCATTTTGAGGGTCAAGCTTTTTTTACGTTGTCACATATTTTCAAAATCTACATTCTACTTATTATCTTATATAGATTTAGCAAAACTTTGGAACTGTTTTTCGCACAATTTTGCAAGGTGTACGACAAAACTGATCACAGACACAGATTCATAGCTGAAAATGCCAATGTCTAAAGTAAAATCGAGGTGAACTGAGTTGGCTAAAAAAAGTAACAACAAGTGAGGTGATCGACGGCAATAAACAGCCGGTGAACAACAACCCAATGCATCACTCAAAGTTCTGTCACGACGAAGAAACATGCCGCATGAGTGAAAGGAATGGCCACCACAGTGAAAAGTCAGGATGATCAAGGAGTATTTTTTTTTTAATTTCTTTACACCACTTGTCATTACAGTTTACTATGCGGATCCCAGCATTTCTTGCATTTGCTTCGTTTACTTTTATTTATTCTTCACAAAATTCTTTGAATACTCTGCTGTTTCGACTGCTATTCAAGGACTTAGTACTCCTCATTAATGTCGCAGAATGCTAGTTCAGATGATTCTCACTGCAATTTTGGAGACAGCCTTAGCTGAGGCCTTTCCACGTGTACTGGAGATAGTGAGAAGGAAAAGTCTGTTACTAATTTTTTGATACCTACACAATTTAAACAGTAACTATACTTCACTATAGCTGCTAGATTCAGAATTTTAGCCACTTTCCTGTGGAACTTCCCTTCATTGAGCTTGTTCCAGATTAAGTTCGTGTATCTAAACATATTTACTGTTCATCCTTATTTTCTGGCAAGGTACGTTGTGAATAGCAACCACAAAGGTACTGCGTCATGAGCGAAACGCAAGATTCCAGGTGGGTCTCAAACGAGCCATTATCCCTGCCGGAACTGAAATGCTATCTACTACATCAAGCTTGCTTTACCCTTCTTTCCTTACATTTGCTTTCTTCAGTACCTAATTGTGCTTCTTAGATTATTCCCGCTGATATGTACTTGCTGGTAGCACCGCAGTCAGAGCAGTCAAATCTTTTTGTGTGCCTCTGTGCATACAATAGAGGTTTTATCAATACAAGGCTGCCTGTGTGTTGGATAAATGTCCCATCGATTACATGAGAAGTACAAGAAAAGGTCGTGAGACAACTAAGCTATCAGAAAAAAATTGCCTATCCATATAGCTATGGCAGCCTTTTGGTGCACCTCGTATAGTTGTTTAAATGTACATCGTCCATTGTGTATCAATCTAATTATGTCGAATCAATCGCAAAACCGCAAATGGTTTATTGTTAATAAAAGATATTTGAGCATAGATTCGGCAAAGAATGCAAGCTACGAAATCACTCAAATGCCAATTATTCCACGGTTTTGTGCCTTGAATCCACTTTCAGAAGCGTCAACCACAGTACCACTATTTTCCTTCCGGTTTCAAATGGTCTGTGGCTACTTCTGCTTTTCAAATAGAAGGAGCAACCAAGGAAGACGGTAAAATCAGCAGTAATTATTTTTATTGATGAAAAATGCAGAAAAATTAAAGCATTTTGGTCTTATCTTATCGGGATCGATTTTGATTGAAACATATATCTAGTTTCAAGAAAAAATGAAAAAACATCAGCAATTCATACCTTAGTTTTGATGTCATATGATTTCAATGAAATTCAGTATGAAAAGGAATGTGTCAAGCCTAATTATTACCGCTGATCTTAGAGTGAGAAAAATAAGAATCAGATAAAACGAACTCTGTATTCCGATTTTCCATAGTCAATAAATATTAATGTGAGCGCAGAGTTTAAAATTACCACATAGGAATAGATTTCAAGAAATTCAACTTTAATAAAGACTTCAGGGCGTGGTCCGTCGATTTGGGACGAGTATCAAAGGAAACCGGGAAAGATTGTAGACAATTCAACAGCAGACATCTCTTCAGATAGCTATCACAAATTTCGTGAAGATATTGCGCTAATTAAATCTCTTGGAGTAAGTGTGATCGAGGCTGGAATTGATTTAGCATTGCTACAAACACTGACTCTATCAATTAATTGGATGTATCTTCGCTTTATTCTCATTCTATGATTTTGCTCTGAGATCCATTACAGGTCTCTCACTATCGATTTTCTCTCTCATGGTCCCGCATATTTCCCACTGGTATTATCACAAAACCGAATCTCAAAGGAATACACTACTATCACGCTGTCATTGACACTCTTATCGAGAATAATATTGAGCCAATGGTAAGGAATACGATAGGTTGGTGAAACTGTTTGAAAAAGCAGTGCTTTTTGGTTACCGGTGATCATTTTGAACACTTTAAAGGCAACGCGTGTTCCTTTTTTAGAGTTAGTTGTAATTCTATAGGTCAAGTCTCAACAATTTTTGCGTTATTTGTAGTGGTTGCAGTAGTGAATGCCCCGTCGAATGCTATGTGTTAGTATACCTGCCACGCGGATTAATTTATTAGGAATAACAGCAGAATAAATCGCTAATAGAAAACAACCTATAATAAATAATAATTACATATAATACATTCATATCCGCCAACCAATCCAATTGGCGGAGCAAAAGTTCATATCTCGCAACAGTCGTTAAATCAATACATTGTAGTGGCTCGAGTAGTAGCTATTTCGTAACATGAGTAGTATGTCAGCGTGGGTCGAATACATGAGGACAAAGAGCGAGAGTTGACCATATTCAACTTAGAAGGTTTGCAAACGTCAATCAGGAGACGGGGGAACCAGGGAGGCTATCGTGGTCGCCTCGGAATGACGAAACCCCAGGGCGGTATGCCGGGTCGACGATGTGTGAGCAGCATAGTCGTCATAAGTCATAAAGTCTCACACCGTATGTTCGAGATCGTCTTACGAGCCCGCTACCCATCCCTAGGGGTGAGTCGCCCACGACCCCCACCACTGGGCACGTCTCCGTGACCTGGGTTTGCAATCACAGTGTCTAGTGCATCATCGGGCAATCACTCAGAAAGTAGAAGGTGGTGAACATAATTACATCTTGTGGACAAAGTCAGCAGACGACAACTGAACTGGGCCACATCGAGTCATAAACAATAATTGTAGGCGATCGGTATGCTAAAGGGAGAAGGAAACAAATACGAAGACGAAACGTAACCCGGCGGCCGCACGGACCAGTTGAAGGCGCTCGACTCTTGTCGTCGGCGGCCCATGGATTGCGAAACTCCAGTCCATGCTGCGCACCAGTCCTCCCATAGCACAACGCCGCCACTCGCTTCCAAGTTTACCTTAACAATCAAACTCGTTATGTTATTACTCATAAAGAAAGATGATATAAAAATAGCAATGAATGTTGCATGAGTTGCTATATTATTCTTCATTTCTAATAAGGCCTTTTTGAAGCGCTGTAGCGATATAAATAGAATTATGTTCCATACCTGATTCGTTTTTCGCTGAATAGAGCTTTTCCTTTCAACTTCCGATATCACTAGAAAGCTTACATCTCGCTCATTTCAATGGTTTGCTAATTTTTGAAAAAAAAACTTTTCTGTGTACTGTAACAGCCGAAAGAAGGTTGCTTTTCGCACTCGCCACACCTCTCGAATCGCGCTGCGCGCAGCAATCTCAAATTCGCCTTGAAAGAACACGATTTTCGCTATTTATTTGAAAATCTGCATACTTTTCCGTTAGATGGCACAGAATGAATAAAAGATTTCTCTCGCTGGACAAGAGCATTTCCCAAAACCGTTAGTAATTATAAACCTAATGATGATGGAGAGTGGTGTGCAAAACCTTTGCGTCAGTCGGGATTCGAACCCAAATCCTACTCTTTCCGGGAGCATGTGCTAAACCGTTGCACCATCGACGCTCGTTTCGCACTCCACTCTTTCTAGGCTACAACGCGTTATCTGTCAACAGCCAATCGTCTACGGTGTGGCGGGGCAGTCATTATCGACATTGAACACCCTATGTTGACAGATATTGGGTTTCAAATATCATTGGTCCGAAATCATTTTATTTGACCGCCTATTGCGGTGTTATGATGTTACTATAAACCTAATGATGATCTAGAGTGGTGTGCAAAAACGTTTGCGCCAGCCGGGATTCGAACTTTTCAAAATGATTTCGGATTGATTATTGAAACCCAATATCTGTCAACATAAGGGGGTTCAATGTTGATAATGACTGCCCGCCACACCGTAGACGGTTGGCTGTTGACAGATAACGCGTTGTAGCGTAGAAAGAGTGTAGTGCGGAACGAGCGTCGGTGATGCAACGGTTTAGCACATGCTTCCGGAAGAAGTAGGACCTGGGTTCGAATCCCTGGCTGACGCAAACGTTTTTGCACACCACTCTAGATTATCAATGAGTTTATAGTAACATCATAACACCGTAATAGGCGGTAAAATAAAATGATTTCGGATTGATCACTTTTAGTAATTATTCGAAAGCTCAGATCATTGGTTAGTACCGTACGTGATCAATCTTCAAAAAACTCACTTTATAACGACTCAGTGATGGGATAACTTTGTGTTTCAAACTCACATAATTCTCGCGGGAGCGAGATCATCTTTTAGACTAGTAGTAATCAATAGCGTAAGATTCAACGATCCCAACGCTGTTTAAATTTTGAAAAGACCGTTCCATTGCAGTGTAAGAGCGAAAATAAGACCAAGTTTCACATCTTCGGCGCGCTTGTTTGC